AAATAATGGCCATAAGAATTATAGAAGACATATGACTAGCAATTCTAACCATTGTTCATCTTCTTATGATTACGATAACTCTTTCAACAATACTAATAATGATTATATGATCGCTACAAACCACGATTCCGGGTGTAGTAGTGGTGGCGTTGACTCCGGCGGCTGTGCTGGCGATTCAGGCGGAGGTGGATGTGATAGCGGAGGTGATTGAAATGTAGGGTGTCTTTAAACAGTATATTGATATGCATTTAATGACATTAAATATGTAATAATTATTAACGTATATGATTTATAATGAAGAATATTGAATATTTAAAATTCTCATTTTAAAGCATTTATTAATAAAATACTTTATTCTTTTGGAAATATATCTTTCGATAACATTATTAAAGTTACAAAAATTATATTGATTTTAGTATACTTTAAAGCTATTAATATAAAAATTAAAATGTTTAATAAAATTTGCATTGAATTGAATGACAAAAATTAATTAATTTTGTGGAACTTCTTGGAGGTGTCGTTGGAGTGATCGATGAGGAGTTGGCAGGGCTTGAACTGCGGGCCGTAATCATCGGTGAACTTCTTCATCCAATCGACCACTTTATTGGCGCCATAAGTGTCGACATAACGGAAGGGTCCGCCCAAAAACGGCGGGAAACCTAAACCAAAAACTGCTCCGATGTCTCCTTCGAGCTATAATTCATACGATAAGATAATTTACACTAATTTAAAGCAATATTTTGCTAAAATACCGGATTCGCTAGAATTCCTTCCTGTAAACAGAGGGCCGCTTCGTTCACAAACCTCACGCCGAGTCTCATCTGATGTTCTTCTAGAGTACACCTATGGGTAACACATTTATGGATCAATCATTTTCTACAATAATATAATTAAGTTTAAATTACTTATGTTTGGGTGAAATGTGATATTTTTTGAGTATTTCTAAAGCTTTATCGTTCACTTTTCTATCTTTAACTCCAGCCTCGTATATATAGAAACCTTTGCCTCCTTTCCTTCCTATTCATATCAATTGAGATAACATTTAAAAACAGTTTAATTGAACAAAAGTCAATGCAAAGTACCCGTAAACCCGGTGGCGACCATTTCCTTCAGCACTTCCATATTAGCGCCGGCAAAGCGTTCGCTAAATATTTTGCCGAGATCTTCGGCCACGTGTGCGGCCACATCTATACCCACTTCATCGACAAGTGTGGCGGCGCCCACTGGGAAACCCCACGTTCGCGTGATTTTGTCCAATTCTTTAGGGGTCACGCCTTCCTGTATGCGATAAGTTTATTCAATATTGTTTTCACACATCTTATAGTAATTGCAATACAAAACCTGCATTAGTCTAATCGCTTCGGACATAACGGGAGCCAAAATGCGAGTCGTGTAAAAGCCCGGCCCGTCCTT